ACACATACACACACACACACACACACACACACACACGTACCCTCCTTCCCTCCCTCCCACCCACGGCTCTCATATCTATACTGTACTCCATATAGTGGTTATGTGATCTTGAAGAAAGTTTCTTAATATCTGTGTGCCTCCATTTCCTTTTTGGTAAAAGTGGGGGGCAAATAATGACATTTAGCTCAAAGGATGAAAGCACAGAACAGATATGAAGACCTCTGGCAAGACAGATAGTCCTGATAGGTAAGTTTCCTTCTTTCCATTTAAAACGTGAAAACCTACACGGATAAATCCACTGATTCAGGCATTCATTCACACATTCACAAACATCTGTGATAGGCTTCCTATATGTCAGGCTCTATGCAAGTGTTGGGGGTGGTGTCTAGGTTTCCTGTTGGATCTTAGAGAACCAAAATAAGAGCACTGTGGTTAAGAATGCCATTTATGTCTTTGGAAAATTTGATTCCTCATGCAGAAGATTTTGGAGAAATTGTTAATATTATCTTACCCATTTACAAACTGTTATTTTTCGTTAGGAAAAGATCAGATTAGATTGTGTGCCAACAAAACAATCCCATCTATTTTTCCTATTCTACTGAAATGTTTGTCTTCCTTTTATTGTTCTGCCTGCCTTCTTATTGTTATTCATATAGCTCTGTCACTCACAACTCTACCTTACCACAGATTACAGAAACATCAGTTCATTAAACAAGTTCTGCCACTTCGGCTGAGAAGGAAATGTCTGTCTCTATGTACTGCCTACTAATAAATGGAGACAAACAAAAAACAAATATACAGGATAAATATAACTCCTGACTGATGTACTTACCACTCTGCTGTTTCATATAATTACATTAATATTTTATAAATTCATTTAAAAGCAAATGTATTCATTGCATATGGCTAAAGCCAGAGTAGATAAACTACCCCTCTTCCTTTTGTTCAATATGCCAGGAGTTCCATAGGCTACACTGCCCATAAGGGCTTGCTAGGGAGCAGGTTGTACATGACATTTCAAAGGCTTCTATCACGTTGATTATTTCTTTTGGTTATCTTTAATCATTAAGCACCAAAGTGAATGTGGATTTCCAATGTCGACCAAGAAAACCATTTGAAGTCATGGGCTTTATACATATATTGCAGAACCTGAAAAATCAAAGAAGTCCAGCAATTTAAAACACACTGGGAATAGAACACCAGAGAAATTCTCTCCCTTTTCCAGGACCCTGGCCTGGCTTGTAGAGTACTACCAACAAGTACGTACCATTGCCACTTATGTTAGGAATTCAAACTTTCAAAGATTTGAAATCATATAAAAGAGTTATGGAAAAGGCCAAGATACTCCTCCAAAGTCCTTTTTGCAATAAATATCCTGTTCTGTTTTGCTTTTACCGTCTCTTCTAACACCATTTCCCTACTGCCTTCTTGACTCTTGGCATGGCCATTGCCGAAAGAGTCATGACATGTTGATTTGTATTCTCTCTCTTTTTTTTTGGAGACGGAGTCCCGTGCTGTCATCCAGGCTGGAGTGCAGTGGTGTGATCTCAGCTCACTGCAACCTCTGCCTCCTGGGTTCAAGCAATTCTCCTGCCTCAGCCTCCCTAGTAGCTGGGATTACAGTCATGCGCTACCATGCCTGGCTAATTTTTTTTTTTTTTTTAAATTTTTAGTAGAGATGGGGTTTCACCATGTTGGTCAGGCTGGTCTCAAACTTCTGACCCCAAGTGGTCCACCCGCCTCGGCCTCCCAAAGTGTGGGGATTACAGGCATGAGCCACCAGGCCCGGCCTGTATTCCCTCTTCTGATTCGTGTACTTCCCAAAGTCCCAACCCACTGGAAATTCTGCAAATGCTGTCTGTTAGCTGGGGCCAGCTTGCTCCTCAGACTTGCAACTCTACCATGTGATTTCAAGTAATGTTTCTATGTAGCTTTAAGCCTTCCTGCTACCTAGCAACTTGCACTTACTCAACCTTGGCAGAGTGATTATTGCCCATTCTCTGTATACATCTGAGCCAAGGAATTACAATGGAGGCAAATGTCATTTCTGTGCAGCTACCCAGTTATTCCTCTATCTATTCATTCAATATTTTGATGACAGGTCCTATGTCAGGTGTCGGGGTTTCAGAAATGAATAAGACAAAATCCTTGGCCTTATACTCTAGTTTGGAAACAACCACGCAAACAGTTACAATGCTGTACCATCAATGAATCACCATAATTGTTTATTAAGTGCTTAAAATGTTTTAGGTTCAGTGCTAAGCATTTTATATAATCACATTCTAATAGAGCTGTGAGCTTACATATTGTTATCCTTCATTTTATGGATAAAGAAATTGAGGGTCAAGGGGGGTTTAGTTACGTGCTCAAGTTTACACAGCCAGTAAGAGGCAGACCTAGAATTCAAATCCAACTTGGTCTAATTCTAATGCCCTTAACCACTACACTGCCTCTCAATGTAGTATGACAATGGTTTCAATAAATTAATACAATTGCAGATATAAAGTGAAGCAAATTGTTGAAAAAATAAGGCATTTGGGCAACAAAATGTTTACATACAATTCTTTTTGCCCCAATGTGGTGGATTAAAGTTGGATACAAATTCTTTGATTCTCCTTCCATCAAGGTAAGGGTCTATGCCCTTATCCCTTTGAATCTGGATGGGCTTTAGAACTGCTTTAACCAACAGAATATGGCATAAGGGATATTGTGTCCTTTTTGAGGCCCAGGCATTAAGAGAGATGCAATTTCTACCTTTTGTCTCTAGAAATGAGTGATAACGGGAGCTTTTCATCCTCATGTAAGGCTGACTACCCTGCTAGAGAGACCACGTGGAGAGGGACTTAGAGCAAATGGCAGAAGACGGATCCAGCTGAGCCCAGTCTTGTATCTGTCCTTACCAAGGTGCCATGCATATGAGTGAAGTCTTGAAATCAGCCTGCCACAACTGAGGTATCCCAGTTGATATCATATAGAACAGAAAAATTGCCCATTTCAGTCCTACCCACATTCCTCATCCAGAAAAATCTTAAAATATAATAAAATTGTGTTTTAAGTCACTAACTTCTAAGGTAGTTTGTTATATAGCAATAGATAAGGAGAATATCCAGCCTGGCTGCAGTGGAGTGTTATTGGTTAATAGAGTTAACAATTTTCAAGGAATGAAAATAGAAAGTACACTAAACAGTGAAACTAGACTGACCATGATTTTTCTCAGATTTTTGAAAAGGCACTTTAGGATCCTGCAGGGCACAGAGCCACTGTCTCGGGCAACTGTTGCCACTACACTGTTGCTATATGGAAGGACCATTGTTCAGTTGGAACAATGTCAGATGACTGACGCTCTACTAGGTGTACTAAGATAACAGTTATCTACAAAACTGTAGAAACCTCAGAGGTGTTCTACATCTGATGTCTGACAAAGACACCACACATGCCTATTTTATGGTTCAACCCTAATAGTTTTTGGCAGGCCCGTTCATGTTGGCTTCTCTTTCTTTTTCTTTTTTTTTTTTTGAGATGGAGTCTCGCTCTTATCATCCAAGCTGGAGTGCAATGGCATGATCTCAGCTCACTGTAACCTCTGCCTCCCAGGTTCAAGCGATTCTCCTGCCTCAGCCTCCCTAGTAGCTGGGATTACAAGCACGCGCCACTACGCCCAGCTAATTTTTGTATTTTTAGTAGAGATGGGGTTTCACCATGTTGGCCAGGTTGGTCTTGAACTCCTGACCTCAGGTGATCTTCCTGCTGTAAAATGCCACCTTTTACCTTTGTGGCAGGGGAGAGGAATACTAGCTACCCATTAATTGGCTACTTATTAATTTCCAGGTTTTATACACTGTATCTGACTTAATCTTCACAACAATCCTAAGGGATGGGAAATAATATTCCCTATTTTACAGATGAGGAAATTGAAACTGACAGAGATAACACACTAAGGATACACAGTAAGTGGTACTCACTAAACATGCTCCTAACCATTAGTCTACACTGCTTCCCACAAAGTCCACAGTTTCATAGAGAAAGACAGATGCTCTTTGTCAGATTAGTACCTACCTACTCAACTTTGTATGTGGCCTTCAAACCTTCCTATCCAGGAGGCTATCCTGGGGTTGCGTATCTCTAAACCCAGAATTTCCTATTGAGATATTTGACACATGCATTGTCACAGTGTTTCGGGGCCTCTTTTTAAAATTCACTGTTGCAATTTTGTGCCACAAAAGAAGTTGAAATTGTGGCCATGTATCAACTGGAAGTAGGCAAAGGTAGGAAGTGACACACATTGACTATCTTGCTTACATTTTCAGAACGGGACCCTGGTTCTTACTGAAAGCCCCTTTACACTCTCAGAAAGGCTTTGCCTGTACTTAACGACTTCTCCCCATCCAAGTGCCCCTGGCCCGATAAAAGCATTTCCAATCTTTTAGGTGTTCCAGAGACCCCTGAGCCCCAGGAGGTAGTTTTTACTCACAGTAAAACCACTGAAATGCAACCACAGATTATTCCAAAATAACTATTTCAAATAGGATCTAATTATATATGCATAATTAAGCTATTTTATAGAAAGTTATGATTTCAACTGAGCTACATATTTCTGAGACATTATTGTTATTTCTTTAGAGTTCCTACAAAATTCATTGGAAAATTAAGAATTATGCCTGTGTACTGGGAAATTTTAACCCATTATAGTCCTGTCTCTTTTCTACATAGATCCTTTAAGAGACTTTTTAGGCAGTCTTTGTCAGATTAGTATCTACCTACTGAACCTTGTATCTCTCTTCTAATCTGAAGAGAGAACACAGATTTCCAAGCACAACCTGGCTGAGCTGTGAGATGATTCTGGACTTCTCACCAGCCCTCTTGGAGGCACAAGTTCCCAAAGTTTTACACAATGACTCTCAAATTCTACCGACATCTGTCCGGTTTCCCCAAAAGATCATCTAAACACTTGTTTCAGCTCAGCTGGAAAGGTGAGACACGGCCTGGCTCATGTACAACAGCAAACAATCTGGCAACCTGGGATTGGTGGGTTATGTGGCACAATTTCAGTTCACAAAGGTCCTCCCAAACATATCTCAAATTTCCACCAGTGGAGCTTTATTCCTTTAGTGCAAGGTTTTGCAAAATCTCCCTTTGTAGCCCATCTTCCCTCAATTCCTTTTTATTCATTTACACTGTGTTCTTGCCTTTTTAGAACATTTGACAGGTCCAGAGTCATGCCCTCCAAAGGTATTCACCTTTGGAGGGGCATTAGTGAGGACATTTCCCACTACATCTGTGGTTCCCAGATTTCTGGATTTTGGAAATGAATAAAATTATATGCATATTTAAGGTCACCAGCCTCTTAATTTGGCAAGAAAAGAAGTGGGGAAAAAGTAACAAAGAAACTAACCAATATCCTATTCATACAGTTCATAAAAGAAAGAACATTTTAAAATCAAAAATACAGGAAGTCTATCACCTCAGAATAAAGGGCAGTCCTTTCAATTGAGCAAATTTAGCTTCATGACAAATTTACTACATTTTTAGTTTTTACATTTTGCCATAGAAGGGTCGTGGCCTACACACCAGTGTTTGGGCTTTTCAGATCACTCAACCATTTCACTTAGCGTGCTCCCCTATATATGAAACTTCCTGTGAAAAACTTCTTTCAGAACTAGAATGTCACACACACACATACACACATTATTAAGGGCCATGAAAAGCTTCACTTCCCCTGAGGACTGGTGTATTTTTTCTTCATGGAAAAATGCAAATTATATAACTGATCAGGTTTCCCTTTTTTGTTTTGGCTGCTTTGTCACAGGGGCAGCTCAACTTCAGAAATCAGGTGGGATTCTATGACCTACACACCTGAATTTTAATTAACTTCCTACCTGGTCTTTGTCTTGTATTCTCATTTATATTTTCCCAGATGCTGATTTATTTTATTTTATTTTTTATAAATTATTGTATTTTTTCATATACTGTAATCTTTCTTATAAGCTGCCTCAAAGTCTTTGCTGAATGAGGTGATGTAACTCAATAGTTAACCACTGTCTCCATACTGTATACCCTTGCATACCTTCCAATAATTGATGCAGTGTTTCCTCTGCCTACACAGTTCTTAGTTCTTTTATCCTCCTGACATACTCCTATATATCCCTGGACACCTAGCTCAAATGTTACCTCTTTTGTGAACCTTTTCTGACCACCGCCATCTACCTAGCATTTCCCCTCACCATACCTGGGCTAAAATATACTTATTTAGAAGTTTCTGTTATGACACTTGCAACATTATAGTATAGTGATATTTACTTTGTTGCCTCTGTCACTGCAACTTGAGCTTGAAGGCAAGGATTGCGCCATGCCCATGTTGGGATCCCCTATATCTAGCTCAATAGATCTTCGATGAATGGATGGATAAATAAAAGAACAAATGAATAAAATGAAAGGAAGGCCTTTGAGCTGTTGTCAGTGAAGAGCCAGCTCATATTTGAGAACATGTTGGATTAGGGAGAGAGTGTGGAAGTTCTAAAAGTATTGGAGTCACTATGAGGATAGGAAACTTTGTCTTTTTTGTTCATTGCTTTCTCCCTGGTGCTTCTCACAGTACCTTTATACTGGCAGGCTTCAGTGAATATTTCTTGTATGAATGAATGAATAAGCAAATAGTTTGACTCAGCTCCTGCTCCTAATAGTTTCCATGGGGAGTCTTTTCTTTTTTAATGATTGTTCCTATCACTGTGCATTTACTTATTCCAGCTAGTTAAGGTCATGAAATTCTTCTCTCAAAGATCCTCTGGCCCTTGAGCTTCACATACTCTTCCAAAGGCTTTAAATAGTTTAAAATATTTCCACGAGAAAACAGCTCCACAGCATTCACCTACACAGACTGTGATGTAGAGCGCCTCACTATCTGTATTTTGTGGTGTCTTCTCTGGGAGATAGGACCTCGTTCTTTGCGGGGACCTCAATACACAGTCTCTATTACATTGACCATCTCCTGTTTGTCCTTCTGTGGCCCAGTTAATCTTGTTGTTGCCAGTACTCAAGTCAAAATCATGATGTGCTTGTTCCCAAAGAAAAATATGACAATATATAGATCATAAAAACTCATACATTTTTGTTGAAGTAAAGTACTTCTGTAATATCAAGATAAATAACTAAAACATTTTTAACTTTTTCAGCTATACAATATAGAACTAATTCATATTCATAAAAGCAGGGTCTCAGTTATGTCCAAACCAAATGATGATGCCTCTGTCTTTTTGTTTTTGAAAGGATGATCTGGCACAACAGCTAACTGCCAGCTGTTGTGTTACTACGGGAGCTTGATGGCATGGAGGAGATTTAAATGAATATCTCCAGGTGTAGATACGCTCCATGGTGAATCTTGAGAGTACCATCAGTAGCTTGAATTCAGGTTTGTTTTGAAGAGACATTAATTTTATCTGGTATATATAATGTTTACATATTATTGGCTCTTGGTAACATATATACTATGATGATGAACAGTGCTCTCCTTTCTCAGGATCGTAACTTTTTGCCACTAAAAGCATACTCTATTTGTGGCAGATATTAAAAATAATACAAACCGAAGGCCAGGCCTTCCTGAGGAGCTTGCAGAACAGTGGTCTGTCATCATCATACAAACTCCTTCTTTCTTTCTGTTCCCATCAGAGTTGGCCTGTTGGGTCCAGTGATAACTGCCTCCTTAAGAATGAGAAGGGCTTTGCTCTGAGAATAAGGTCCATGAGTCCATATTTTCCAATATCTTTCATTATGGAGCAGACACAATCAATACAGTGGGGACATCATAATGAGGAACTCTTCTCTTTTTGGACTTCACAGGCTCCACACTTGGCTGCTAAGGATATTTTAATTGAGGGGAAAATAAAAGAAGCAGCAGGCAGTATTCAACAAGTAGCCCTTAATGGGTCCATCCTTGGATTCATCTGGAATGACTGGGGCAGAATGTTCTTTAACCAGAGGGCCTGACTCTATTGAGCTCCACTAACATTAGTCTTATTTGACCAGCTTCTCAAAGCAAATACTCTTGCAGGAAAGACAGCTGCTAGCCAGAGGGGACCGCCTGATCTGCCATCATTATGGATTAACTTTATTGAACCACAGCAGTACAAAACACCATGTTAGTTGAAAGGGAACTCCACACCAAACCTCAGAGATAGCCTGTTTCTACTCCCTACTCAATGAATATAATAACTATGCCAGACATTGCCTTCATGACAAGTGTGTGTCTAAGAGACTCAGTATCCATGACAGTATAGATTAGAGGTCTCTAGGGGCAGTGAAGGAAGCTTACATTATCACTTGTTTTTCATCAATGTCAAAAGACTTCTCTACTGTCACAGACAGGCCAGATGAGACAGGACAAAGAAAAGTCTGCTGGCTCAGTAGGAAACCTCCTGAGGAACATAAAAGTAGCTGAATTACTGAGCCTTTGATGGGTGACTTCAGGCAACAGCTCCATGAGGCTTATTTGCTGCCTTTTCCATTTTAAGAAATCTTGAGGTGTGGGGAGCTGATCAGGGAGATGTTTTAACCCATTGTAAAGATGGCAGGCACTCTGTTCTCCAGACCCTGGCAAGAAGAAAGGTAGGCAGCATTGGAGTGTCGTGCCACCCTTCCATTTCTGTGAAAATCCCCAACAGATTTATAAGGAACAGGCATCAGTACTGTTAGACATATACTATTCTCTTCACCTGTTGCTGTCCAGTATTTCACCAGGGAAAAATTTCACCCTTGCCTTTACTGTCCTTCACTGTTGTTAAAGGTAAAGATGAGTCATAATTCAACTTTTTGTGAGCCACATCGCACATGTGAACTTGAAACAATAATAATAGCTGAGTTAATTGAGGAATTACTGTGAGCCAGGCATCATTCTAAGGCTTTACATGTATTAACACATGAATCCTCATAACAACCCTATAACACAGGTGTCATTATTATCTGCATTTTACAGATGAAGAAACTGAGGCATAGAGAAGTGAAGTAACTTGTCAACAGTCACACAACTGGTTAATGACAGAGACTTGAACATAGGCATTCTGGATCTAGAACCCTTGTTCAAATCTCAGTGGTAAACTGTCTTCCTAAAATAATACAGATACAAGAAAAACCAGTTCACACATAACTTAAGTGATTTTATACATAGCTTTACAAAGTATATCTCAGCCTGATGTTATTGCCCCATGCACTTTAAGACAAGACGGGAACTACTGAACTAATACCAGCATTTCTATGACCAGGTTTCCAAACAGTCAAGTAAGTTTCACTGGAGCATGGTGGCAGGCAGAATCACTGAATTACAGGTCAAAGAGAAACCATTTCTTTACAGTCGTTAAGAAAACAAGATGTGGAGAAGGGGGCCAAAGGTAGAAATTAAAAATACTCTTGAGGTTTCAAATGTCTGGTTGAAGCTGGATGTACAGAACGCTTATTAGCATATTAGCGTTGACAGTGGCTGCATAGCATCCAAATACTTTCAATTTAAGTGGGAGCTTAGCAGCGATTTGAAGAATGTATGTTAGTACTTCCTCTACATCAGAGCATATAGTACTTCTAAGAGTAGTAATAATGATGACAGTTTATCTTTATTGGGTGCTTATTATATGGTAAGCAGTGTGCTAAGTATATTATTTAATGTCCACAGCAATCCTATGAGCTAGGACACTATCATTATCTCCATTTTACAGATGAGAAAACTGAGGAACAGACAGGTCAAGTAACTTGCTTAAGGTAACATAGTAAGTGGCAGAGCAAGGACTCAAACCCAGGTAATCCTCTAACTTCAAGGCCTGTGTTGTTAAGCACTAAGCAAGATACTGTTATGAGGATTCAAGCCCTCTACCACACTGTTAAGAAAACTTACCACAATTTTCTAGCCTTATTATTGACCCCAGCTCAAGCTTTGGGTCTGTAATGATTGCTTGGTGGAATTTTTGTTCTCAATGCTAGGCCTTTCTTTTTCCATGTTATAGATGGGTGGCTAAGTATTGAATATTACTTTGTGAGCATAGATTTATGCTTATATATGATAATTTACAAATCATATGGTATCAGTTAACATTTAGTCCCCTGGACCAGAGCACAGATGTGGCCTCAATATTTTTCCTGGGACTTTTACACATATGGTCCAGACTGTCATAAACTGGAAATATTTAAGTCAAATTAGATTGTCTAGTCATCTTAGACTATAAGTGTTGTGACTCAGGGACACTCTACATGGAGCTATAAAACAATATATATTTCAGTTTAAATTCTATTATAATCAAATAATAAAGAGGTACTAAATACAAAACTTGTTACTTCCTTAGAAATGTCTATGAGAAATACATTAATAATGATTTTTGAAGTATTTTAATAGCTGCCATTTTTGAGCACCTTCTATGTACCATTGTGCTAAACATGATTTAATTGTCATCCTAGGAGTTAGGCACTATTAGTCTGACTTTGTAGATGAGCACACTGAGTCTCAGAAGATACACAACTGCTCGAGATCAAATAGTGAAAGAAACAGGCTTGGAAGCCAAGCAGACTGACTCCAGCACCTGACATCTTAACCATTCTGCAATATTGGCTCCTTCAGTAACATTCACTGATCCCAGATTGGCCCCACTAGTCATTCAAAACCTAAGGAAATCCATGGTCCAATCACTGTAGCTCTCAAAGGATGTTTGGTGGTTCATTTCAATTGTTGTTGGTCTAATGGAGAAGAATACAGTCTGGTGAACTACAACCTATGGTATGAATTATAGTTTGGCAGAGTTCTTTGCACCTGCCACATATAGAATTTAGACTCCTTTTTTTTTCTCCACCCATTTCTTATTCACATACCTTTTTTTCTTCATGTTTGGTTGCTTTTATGCTTGTTTCTTGGCTTTTGATGTAACAACATTTCTTAATTCATTATTAGTATTGCTGTCTAGCATAGCCCACCCTCGTTATAACTTATAAGGATTTATAATCTGCACTGGAATTGTGAAATAATATTTTGGGGGGTGTAGCTAACTATATAAATAAATGGCAAGGCAAAATGGCATTACTCTAAATCTGTTTATCAACTTTAATGTGCCTGTGAAGCACCTGGGGATCTTGCGAAAATGCAGCTTCTGATTCAGTAGGTCTGTGCTGGGGCCTGAGATTCTGGGATTCTAAGTGGTTCCCAGGTTATGCAGGGCACACTTTGAGTAGCAAGGTTCTAGATTGGCCTGGTCCTGTTGTGCTTTTAAGTAGAGTCACAATTAATTGAATCTGGGGAGATTAATGTTTAAGCTGTTTAAAAAGCTGCCTCAGGCTCCCTGAGATGGCAATTCCCAAATGTCTTCAAAAATTCATTGTAATGATTAATTAGCTCTCACTGTCCAGGAAGCTTTTCTGTGTCTAAACAAAACCCTTCAGGTGCTGTGATGTTCTGCTTCTCATTTTATCTTTAGTGGAGGTGGAGTTAGTCCACCATGTCAGTTCTATTACAGGTTACTTTGTTTATGTATATATGTATGTGTGTGTGTATTTACACACAGTTATTCAATGTTAAAAACAGTCTTTGGGCTGTCCTCCACCATCTCCTTTCTCTCCTCTAGGAATCTAAGATTTTGGAGATATCTACGTCAGTTCTCTTTCTGTCTCCATGTTTATTTGCCTCCTCTATGAAATCTATAAAATTACACAAGCTTTGTAATTCCTCGCCAAAATCCTCTTGCCTTGTATTTCAAAGAGCTGTTTAAAGCTTCAATGACCCTAGCCTGCATTGGATATACCCCCAGCATGTCCAAAGTGCAAAAAGGAGTATACTAGTAACTACCGGCTACCCAGACTATAAAGCTCATATTACAAAAATGCACACTCTAGGCAGAATCTGGTAAATGTCAACTTCAAAATAAGTTGTGTCATACTGCTATATTTATTACCACATGGTCAATAAAAATAAGCACTTGCGAGGTGATTAAAAATAACATACCAGGTAAAATTGGTTGTCCGGCAATTCCCAGCGGTGCCATTCCAAGATTATTCATTGCTGTGGCCCATGCAGTTGGATCAGACATAGGTAGTGTCATTGCAGTGGAATCCACATTCAGAGTTCTACTGTTATCGGCTGAAAAGAAATGACAAGCAAAATAATTTGTTGTGTTAAGGCTCTAGCATCTAGTTTACTTATAAACATAAATTCTGGCAAACTCTTTAGGGAAATGGCTGGAGAAATGGACAAGTGGTGAATCAGGCCTCAATGCCAGCTTTCTTACAAGGGTTAAAACAATACAGCTTGAACTGGCAGGAAGTCATGGAATTTGAAAGCAATTTACCAGATGGCATTTTAGTATAAGTGTTTGCTTCCTTCTCTTCCTTTCTTCCTTCTCTCTCTCTCTCTCTCTCTCTCTCTCTCTTTTTTTCAAGCATACTCAACAGAGGAGCTTGGAATGATTAAGAAGTTTCCTATTCTTCTCATAGTCCACTAGCATATGATTACTTCAGCAGCTTCTATCCAAACTACTTATGCATGTAAAGCAAGAAAAAACATCCTAGGGCTTCTGTAGTTGGCAATAAAAGATGAGAATTATACTCCTGATGTAATTTCATATCTTTGAGGCAGTACTATTGAATAGAGCTGGACACATAATCAGCAGACATCAAATTAGCTGAATGACAATTTTGGGGGTTAGGGGAACAATGAGAAAAAGCAGACTAGAGACACAGTCCCTGCCCTCAAAGGTTGTACAATAAAATTGAGGATACTGATGATGATGGTGATAATTATTACCATTATCACTACCTCCACCCACTACTACCTCTGTTGAACACTTACTGTATACCAGGTAAATCACTTGGCATGCATCATTCTCATTTAACTTTCAGAATAGCCCTATGAGGTAGGGACAATTTATATCTCCACTTAATAGAAGTTTTAGAGACATTTAAGAGAAGTTTTGAAAGGTCAAATATATTGTCCAAGGTCATACAGAATGTATAATTTTTAGCCACTATGCTTTACTGTCTTCAGTTAAACAACTAGGAAACAATCAAAGACTCAAATGGTATAGATCAGAAATGTTCCTGTAGTTTACGGTATGCAGAGCTACTGTGGCCTAAGCAGGAAATATTTCATGGAGAAAATAGGACTGAACAGAATGAACCAGATTTATATAGAGCATGTCATGAGTGATGAGTAGTTATTAGATAGGTAAAGTAAAGGGGCCAGACATCCCAGGAGCAGGAATGATATAAGCAAAGACATTGAAATGGGTTTTATAAGCACGTACATGTACACAGTGTTGGGAGAGATATAGTCATGAGTCATCTGAGCACAAACAGACTTTTGTTTTGGGAAATTTTCCTCTGACTACTGATAGCTGTAGAAAAAATATTTCTATGGCTTTTTTCCTACCTCCCAGTACACACTTCTGCCAATTACAACCCATGAAGGCAACTCTGTTCTAACAGTAGCTTGCTAAAGTCCAAGGCAACATCAGGGCTGACCCTTGCCAGGGTTACTTATACATGTGCTCTTTTGGTCACTGATTGGTCAGAACAAGCAAATGTAAATGTTTAAAAACATTATTTCTGAAATATTAGTTTTTGTCATTTTTCTGTGCTGCCTTTGCCTCCTCCCCCTTAATCCCCTCTTCACACATATACAGTGATTGATGGCACTAAGTGTTCATTAATTACAGTCAGAAGTCACATTTCAGAGCTAGTGATTTCTCCATGTGTAGGAACTTTAGTCGTCATATCCAGCTTTCAGTGTTCTCTCACAAAGCCATATCCAAAGGCTAGAAATAGCCTCCTTGCAAATATTATCAAGAAAACAAACATGGGATGCTGAATATCCTTTGGGTTGAGAGTTTACATAGTGATAATTAGTCTACTTGGACTTCTAAGCCCCCAGTTAGGGGAGATTTTAGAAAATGTTATAGCTGAAAGATATCTTTAGAGATTATTGAGTCTACACCCTGATTTTCTCTGGTTGCTGGAGAATCACTCCCAGAAGAAACTGGTAGGTTTAGAAGGACTGGGACCCAATGCCAAAAATAATTCCTTGCAACAGTTTGGCTACTCACTGGTTCTGCAGTCCTGACAAATATTAAAACGAACGAACAAACAAACAAACAAACAAACAGGAACACTTCTCAGTAAAGGATTTTGAGGTCAAAGAATGAGAATTTATAATGTATCAACCTAGCCAAACTCTGGACTAATTAGGGGCGGGATAAGTGTTTGGGGGAAGACAATGATCTCAATTACAATTTTGAGGGAAAATACAGTATTGTTATTTTCAAAACGTATAGTAATTCACAATGCTTGTTAAAATGTTAGCAAGTAGAGTTCCTGCTATGCTTGTTTACAGGAACAGATAAGGAACATGTGTAATTAACAGCATTATTTTGCCTCAATGAATGTGGTTCTTAAATACTTAGGAAATTTTGCTTTAAATGTCCTTCTTATTGCCCTTCCCTCCCCTAACACCCATCTCCACCTGTCAAAATCCCACTCATTTTTGAAGGGCCATCTCAAATGCTACCTTGTTTGTGAAACTGAAATGGCCAGGTGGGAAGGACTCCCTGGCAGAGCCTCCCACTGACCTGCACCCTGGGGTGGAGCCTTGGAAGTTCATGTGTTTGCAGTGGGAAGGAGCCTGGCCCCTCCTCTTCCTGGGTGGAACCTGGGATTCAATCTACCAGGTGGGAAGCACACCAGCAGGGATTTGGCCTTGCAGAGGGTCCCTGTTTCCCTTTTTTACCCCTTTTTCCCCAGTAAATTCCATTTTTCTCACCCTTCAAAGTGTCTGCAAGCCTAATCTCTCACGGCTGTGTGACAAGGACCTGGCTCTTAGCTGAACTAAGGAAAAAGTCCTATAACAAAACCACCTCATTGGAATTAATTACTTCTTCTGATGTGTTCTCATAGCATTTTATCTAGAATTTGATTTTCACGTTTGCTCATTCTCTCACTCATTCCCTGCAAAGTAAACTTTTTTGAGTCTTACTATATGCCCTGCTGTTTTGCTAGTAACTAGGAATACAGAGATGAACAAAACTCATTTACTGCTCTGGAAGAATTCAAAATATAGTGAGAGGGACAGACATATAAACAATCCAATATAAATTATTATAATAAGTACTGTAATTAAACCAAGAGTGGAGTGCTCTGGGAACACAGAGGAGTAATTAAAGCTGCTGGAATGGGTTTGGGTATATGTGTTTCTGGTTGTGGGGTGAAGGAGGAATGCCATGGAAGCCTTCACTGGGAAAGAATCATTTGAAATGAGTCTTTAAGAAGGGACAGGATTTTCTTCCAGGTAGTGAATGGAAGACTGGGGTAAAAAGAGCATTCCAGTAACTGGTACCAAAACAGAGATATAGACCAATGGAACAGAGCGGAGCGCTCAGAAATAATACCACACATCTACAGCCATCAGATCTTTGACAAACCTGACAAAAACAAGAAATGGGGAAAGGACTCCCTATTTAACAAACGGTGCTGGGAAAATTGGCTAGCCATAAGTAGAAAGCTGAAACTGGATCCTTTCCTTACTCCTTATATGAAAATTAATTCAAGATGGATTAGAGACTTAAATGTTAGACCTAAAACCATATAAAACCCTAGAAGAAAACCTAGGGAATACCATTCAGGACATAGGCATGGGCAAGGACTTCATGTCTAAAACACCAAAAGCAATGGCAACAAAAGCCAAAATTGACAAATGGGATCTAATTAAACTAAAGAGCTTCTGCATAGCAAAGAAAACTACCATCAGAGTGAACAGGCAACCTACAGAATGGGAGAAAATTTTTGCAATCTATTCATCTGACAAGGGCTAATATCAAAACATATAAAGAACTACTCAACATTGACAAGAAGAAACAACCCATCCATCAAAAGTGGGCAAGAGATATACAGACACTTCTCAAAGAAGAAGCATTCAGACGCAACAGACACATGAAAAAATGCTCATATCACTCGCCATCAGATGAAATGCAAATCAAACCACAATAGATACATCCTCAAACCTTGAGAAGGCAAATCATTAAAAAATCCAGGAAACCAACAGGTGCTGGGAGATGTGGGGAAATAGGCAACACTTTTACAGACATGTGGTGGGACGTAATAGTATTCAACCATTGTGGAAAACAGCTGGGACGATTCCTCAATGGATCTAGAATAGAAATTACATATTGACCCAGCATCCCATTACTGGGGATATAACCAAAGGATTATAAATATCATTCGCTGCATAAGAGCATGCACATGTATGTTATTGTCAGCTACATATTCACCAAATATCAAAGACTTGGAATCTAACCAATTCCATGCATGACAGACTCGGATATAGTAAAATGTGGCACATATACACCCATGGAATATCTAGGCATCCATAAAAACAGGATGACTGTGGTCCTTTGTAGGGACCATGGACTGCGCGGAAACCATCATTCTCTAGCAAGACTATCACAAAGACAGAAAACCAAAACACTGCATGTTACCACTCATAGG